GGGGTTTTTCCTCCTCCATCATGAAGTCTGTTCTCAATATTTCTTGCATTGAGGAAACAGATCTTCTTCTTTTATAGAGTTTGTTTCCGATTCTCTCAGATTTTCCTAGAAAACTTCACCAGAAGGGGAGCTCTGCGGGGGCCTTGTGTGATTATAAATGCACATTGCTCTTTATTATTGTTTTTTATTAGCTCTGTGGGGTGTTCCACTTACAAAATGAGCCAAGTCTGAAAAAACATACTGTTCAGGTCTTTAGTTTGAATTTTACACCCCCTTTTCCAAAGTGTTTGGACACTGTGTAAAATGTAAATAAAAACAGAATGCAATCATATAAACCCGTCCCAACTTTTGAAATGTTGCTGGCATCAAATTCAAATTGAGTATGTATTTGGCATAAAACAATACAATTTCTGTTTCAACATTTGATATGTTGCCTTTGTTCTACTTTCAGTAAAATTGAATGTGGTTTTATATGATTTTCCAATCATTGCATTCTGTGTTTATTTACATTTTTGTGTCCATACTTTTATTTGGGAACTCTGTTGTACTTAAATTCCCCAGGTTTTATTAATAAATGCAATGATTTTCAGTGTAGAATCATATTCACCTTTCTGCATATTGGTCTTTCTTGTATCAGAATTCAACTAAACTCAGCCCTTAGTTCTGTGTGAAGTTGGCTGGTTGGTTGGTTGGTTGTTTGCGCTGTGCTGGTCTGGAGGTGTCACTGATTTGGCTGGAGTTGGCTTCTTCCTCCAGTGCTCTGGAGGTTTCATTTAAATGATTTATCATCATGGACAAGAATATGAAGCACAGGGAGCCCCCCCCCCCCACACCCAGAACAAACACAAAAAGCTCTGTGGAAATCCCTGTTGTCATGTGAACTGTGATATAAAGAGAGGCTAAAGTTCAGGCCTTGTTGGAGGTGCTGGAATTCGTTTTACTGTCCTTTTTCTGAACTGAGTTGTTTCCTTGGCTACTTCGCCCCCCAATGCTCGTCCATGGTTGTCTGCATGGTGATTATAGTATTAAACCTAAGTCTTCGTGAGTCTAGGGCACTACTAGTTTAAGTACTTAACATGTGTAAACGTTTTAAAATATGTGAATCACTTTTATCGTCAAGGGTGTTTGTCTAGCAAGAAAAAAAAAATCACGTTAAACATTTATAAGTGACCTGGTGGGAGATCTTGCGGCAATCGATCGTGTGCAGCCTTGGGGTCTGTCATGGTGCGGCTGGTCAGCAGGGGAGGGGAAGTGGCTTCGTGCCAAAGATCTTTGTGACAAGAGCTTTGTGATCCAGGCGCTTGCAGGATGTTTTTCCATTGTGCCGCGCATAAAACTCTCCGTTTAATCAAACTTATTGTCTTTCTTCCGTTAGTAGGATGTTGAATATCATGCAAGGCCGGACCACAATCATCTCTGTCCTTTTATTTCTGCACTTTCAGTTCTGGTTCAGCCTGGCTGGAAACCAAAGTCTTTCTACTTCGACCGACGTGTTCGCAGAGCCCCAGTCAGACTGCATCTGCTTTGTGCTGATGGTTCTGTCTTTGAATGATCTCACTTCACAATGCCACCAACAAGAGGGTACAGAAGAACACAGTATTCACCCCAAAAATATTGCATATTGTCAACGGAGCAAAGCGGCGCTGCAGGTCATCTTAAACCGTATTAGTGCATTTCTGGGTGGTGCCGTAATTCGGTGAGCAATGCACCTGCTGGTAACTGAACAATAAAGAATTTTCTGACCTGAGAAATGAAGGATTGTCAGCATTAAGCTGAATTTGTGATATGAAAAATGAAATAAAAGTTTAATCGTCTATGAAAGTGCTCTTGCATACTTGCCTTGTCTGTTCGATACTGTGGAGAAATTTATTGTAGTATGCTGTACCACAATATATAATGTTGCTTGGCATTGTGCCCCTTCATTCCTAATGATTCATTGGAAATTCTTTGAAAATGTAACTTCGATAGCGTTAAGGAGAATTCCTCAGAGCTTGAACTATGGAATTTCCTTAACCTTTTGCAAATGTATAAAGGTCTTCAGTTCCAATGTTTACATTATCGGGAGATGACTTCGAAGTTGCTCTTAAAAGTGTCGCCTTCTATGCTGACCGCAGGACTTTTTCCTGCAAATGGAGGCCCACTCATATGTTCTCCAGATGTATAATCCATTTAGGAGAAGAAATGACTAGAGCAGATCGCGCCGTAGCCAGTCTGCAAGCTGGAAAGTACTGCCTGCAGTTGATTTTATGGGCCTGGTTCTTATTTTTAATTCATCATTTCTCCAAAAAGAGCAACCTGCAATTATTATTAGTTGGAGAAAGAAGACACTCTCTTTAAAACACACAGACTTTTTGGAGGATCTAAGGAATAAACACCCGCAAGAAGAGGGTTTGCGAGGCAGCGGAAGGCAGTTTTTGTTAAATCGGCGTCACCTTGCAATGCACGTAAGCTCGGGTTCTCGTTGGCTACCGCGGTAGTGGGTGAGAGTGAGAGCACAGATTGGCAGCCTTTGCTGGCAGACGCTGTGTTTCGTCAGTGTTTGTCAGTTTATTACAATGCCATTACTATTTTATGGCCAATTGTGCAGCTGCTGAAATAGGGGAATTCAGAATTTTATAGGCCAGCGTCTTTTATTCAGATTGGGCAGCTGTGATGTCATGGAAATACCTTCGGGATGCGAAAGGTCGGCTCGCAAGCCCATTTGATTTGTATAATGGTACCCTTGGAATCGTGCCGAAACTTACCAGCCTGCTTAAGGAACCCTAGGAGAAGCCAATGGCTGAAACAGCTAGTTACACTTTTGGATACGGCCCTATCGCAGATACCGGTTAAAGTCCCCCATCTCTTCATCTACGTTCTTTGAAGTTCCTTGCACTTTGTGACTAATGGCTCACTCTACCAGGTCGAACCCTCCTTATGGTGCCTGAGGTCGTAGCGCTCCTTGTATTTTTGTATTAAGTTCTGGCTGAGCTCCAGTCTCCAGTCAGATGGGGGAGGATACATTTCAATATCGCTATCACTGCTGTGTAAATATTTGCGAGGAGCTGAACATAACTGTATATGTGATGAGATCGGTGCTTAGCGTTTTCAGCAAATGTGCTTTCTGTCATGCAGATGCTGGTCATTGTGTATTTTGGGGATGACTTGACCCTATGGTCTGGTCATAGATCAATTCCAACATGTCTGTAGGCCTCTGGATGTTTCTGGAACGTCCTTTTTCGACTGCTCAAGTTCCCAGTAGTGACGTGATTATTTTGCTGAGCATGAGTTTTACTTCCACAAAAATGTTCAGAGGACAGAACAAAAAGTGATTTGGTTCTCTCTCTCTCAGCCAATCAGATTGGTTGGTCCTGCCTTCTCTACAATCAGATGCATTAATCCCGCCCCCTCTAGTTGCTTGGACCCACTTCCTCTACTATCTGATTGGTTCAGATAAGCAGTCATTTTTCTTTCTGCCCTCAGAACATTTTTGAGTAAGTAAAACTCCCAGAAGCATGGGATTCAGGCCAGCAGTGTTGTGAATGCAGGCAGTGGCCTAACCCTCTGAGCCATACACTGGTGAAGGGCAGCAATCCATGCTCTTTGTGCCCCTGTCCATGCCAGTCCTGGGGGTGGCACTCCCAACGATCATTTTAGAAGTCATCAAAGGCCATGTCCAGCATAGGTCATGCAGGGACAGGACTCTGGCCAAAATGAGACCACTCACTGCTCAGACAAAAGGAAACTTGTTCTTCCAGTGTTGTCTGGAGCGCCTCAGTCCCTGTCTGCTCAGGAAATCTATGTGGGAAACCCGAGGTTTGTTTGTGTTTGTGTCGGTGTGTGACCCGAGAGCGCACGTGTATCTTGGTGGGTGGTGCGACGGCTCATCGGTGGGGATCAGAACCCCCGAGAGGCGAGTCTGCAGCTTCAGCTTTCCCAACATTCCAGTGAGCTAGACCTCCCACTGCAGGCACCACAAGGCAGATTTGAAACGGTGGTGAGGGACACTGCCAGGGAATACCTCCTTTTGTAGTCACGAAGAAGCCATTAAATTCTTAGATAAGGAGATAAAAAAACAAATTCCCTCTAAGTTTCCCCTTCAAACATGCAGGGAACCGTCCTCAGGTGTTAATGAATCTGGAATCTCCCTCTTTACTCCTCGTGTATGCAACACCCAGCTCGCCTGAAGTGTTCATAAAATCATCCACGAGGGAGTAACTCTAACGGCAGCACAGCCGATGGGCTCGGCGCTCCATTTTTAATTTTTTCACTTCTGTGGTGTCATGGCACTTCAGTGGCGCTGTAAATATTAGCCTCGAGAGTATTGCTCATTAACAGCGGACACTTATGACCCCTGATTTAGCTTTTATGAGAACAAAGAGCGTGTGAGTGTATGTGTGTTGCAGAATGGTATTCTGTTGTAAGACTGTTGTGTTGTGTTTGTATGTTGTGTTTGTGCTCAGTCTATGCATAACGGTTAAAGCTCTCATATCCGGCAATATTACAACCACGACAGCCAGCAGAAAGTAGAATTATCAGGATAGATGAATGTTAATTTTGGAAAAACACCTAATTGTGACATATTTCATACACTTACATTAATCCCTTTATACACACAGACACTAATGATTATTGTACTATTATTTGATGCCCTCTAATCTCACTGCTGGATATTGGATCAAGATTGCGAGGTAAACGATGGGGGAACAAGCAGAAAGACTCTAAAAGCCTGCTGTTCTGTAGGAATGAGGAGGAACTGACGTGTGTTGTGCAAAGCTTTTCTTGGTTTAGTGTACATTTTAATAGCATAGTGTTGTATTTCTCATTTTAAACTAACATTTCATAGTTGTTCTGGTTACTTGAATGCTTTATAGATGTAACCAATAGCAGCAAAGCAGACAAAGACCACAGAGTCAGCTTAATGGTTGTGCTGGGAGCATGTACCAGAGCCTCTTCAGCGACCCGTCAGTCAGACACACCCTCCCTCTGACACTCCTCCCCCCTTCGGCGCTGTGCTGCAGGAGGTGAAGTTGTTCCGCGCGCTGATCTTGGGCGAGCCGGAGCGGGGCCAGAACCAGTACCAAGCCCTCTGCTTCATCACGCGCCTCAACAGCAACGAGATCATTCCCAGCGAGTCCATGGCCCGCCTGCGGCAGGTGACTGTGCTCCTCTGGAACCTCCTCTCAGAGCCCCTCCCACCAGAGCTCCTCCCTTTAGCTCCTCCTGAATAGCCTGTCTCTGATAAGCCCCTCCCAATAGACCTCCTGACTAGTATATATTTTTTTTTCCTTTGGCAGAAAAACCCTCACGCGATCCGGTCAGCGGAGGAGAGGCGGACCGAGGACCAACTGGCCATGAACGTAGCGGTTAACCTGAGCCGGGCGTGGCAGCTCAGCGCCCACGTCCACAACATGTGCGCCGAGGCTCAGGAGGCCATCTACACCCGCGAGGTGGACGTCAAGCACTGGCTGGACAAAGGTGAGCCAAGACGTCCAGCCGCTCGTCGTCTGAAGTCACGGTTTTGTGTGTTGTCTAAAAGCCAGCTATTTTACGGCCTGGACTCGCTATCTTCTCCCTCAGTACGTTTAAACAAAGAGCATCCAGCATCACCTCAGGCATTTCAAATGTTTTCTATGTTGGCAACCACCAGCATCATTGTAAAAGCCATTCTGTGCTAATCTCTCCAGCGTGAGCTTCTGGAAGGGAGCAGTAAAGAACTTGCATGCCCATCTCTGGAGAAACAGCTCAGTAAAGGATCCCGCATCCCTGACAGGCCAAGACTCCTTTTCAACCTTTCCATCCTTTCCCCGCAGGAGTAGAAGGCTCCGTGTTCGAGATCCTGCCCCAGGAAGAGGACGTGCCGGACTTGCAGACGTGCGCGACCTCACGGGACATGTGGCAGGCCTGCTCCTGCCGCTACAGCCTGAGGCTGGAGTGGTACCCCTGCCTGCTGAAGTACTGCCGCAGCCGGGAGGGGGTGAGCAAGGGCAGCCCCTACAAGTGTGGCATCAAGAGCTGCAGCAAGGGCTACCGCTTTGAGTACTATGTGGCTCACCGGCACCTGTGCCTCTGGGACGAGGAGACCTAAAGTCCACCCCCCCGCCCCCTGGTATCCACTCCCATCTGGAAATGACTTGTCCTTATTTATTTTCTTATTTAATATTTGAATATCCCCGGGGAATTTGTCTTCATCCCTGCATCCCTCTGCCCCCTTGTGGTGAGATGTGGTACAGGTACCGGCCACAGGTGTGTGGGTGACGTTGTCACCGTCAAGTGCCTTCACATATGACCACGGCTGATGCTGAGGTCTGGTCCAATCTCTCTCTCAGTGGAATCAGTGACCCCCCCCCCCACCCCAATCTTTGTTTCACACTGAACCAAGTCTTTTTTTTTTGCCACTCTTCTGATTGGACTGCCATTTTCTAAAAACAGTTATATTGGCTTATATAAAGGGACTGAACACTTTGGACTATCAGAACCACGGCTGGAAGGGTGAAGCAGGCCAGAACCGGTCAGTCTCCACAGGGGATTGTGGGATACAAGAGCTGGTATGGTCCACGGGTCACGGTCTAAACAAGCTCATAGTATAACCCAGGTTACAATAATGCTTCTCTGGTATGTTCTTTCTTTTTACTTAAAAAGAAATAAACTCTGTTTAGACCGTTCTAACAAAAGAATTGTTCTTATCAGTAATGTGATTTTGTAATGAAGCCCTCAGCAGTAGAACCGGAGCCCAGCCCCCACAGAATAAGGGAACTGAAGTAGGACCATCAAAGTCCTGTGCTTGGTGCACCTGTGTGAGTTCTTTTTTTTTTTTTGCCCAATTCAGCAACGTCTCTTTTCTTCTTTACCTGGAGGCCTTCATCACCTGCAAGCACCTTCTCGTTGGCGTGACTTCTGAAGAGGCCTTCCGAGGCTATTTTGTCACCCGAATGAGTCAGGCAGATACATTTCCATATCAAAGCATGTTTTGGGACCAAATTTTACACATCTGAGGATCTGTAGACTAACCTACAAGCTGAGGTATAACACGGGAGTTTGTACACTAATCACTGTCTGTTCTTATCCACACTATGGGCCATAGAGTTTGCGTAAATGAGTTGAGCCTGACTTGTGTTAAGTCTTGGTACCTGTCATTTTGATATTCGCTCATTGTGTTCTAGATGTTTCTCCTGCAACCTGTTGTATGTAGGCAGTTTCCTAAGCTTTAACAGAAGTATGTTCTTTCAAACAACGGGGGATTCTCCCCCCGGCCACCAGAGGGCTGCGGTTTTGGAAGGGGGGGGGACACCACAGTGCCAGGGGAGGCCAGGTCCCAGTCATGGGGCTTGCTGCATCGTTCTTAAGGAAGGCCTCACAGCCTTTTGAGTGGTGTTGAAATGCCTCTCTGCCAAGGCAAATCAGAGACCACCATCCTGCTGTTGTGCTATGGTTATGAAGAATGGTGGCATTTGCATTATGACATCAGTTTACAGTATAGTTTTCATTGTCCCTGCTGTCCCTACAGGTTAACTTCACCTGTCAGATACTATCAAATAGGATGTATTTATAAAAATTCAGGGGCATCAAGGTCTTTCTAATTTTTTTTTATTTTTTATTACAGTTTAACAAAACACTTTAACGTAACGGTTTAATGTTTAACAGCTGAACAAATATGGAGTATTGCAATTAGCAATTTTAATTATTATTATAAATTCTGCTGCAAATAAACCCTGTGTTGCATCTTTGTTATGGAAGGAATCAGTAACGCTTACTTATTTAATATGAAATGTATTTAGGGAAGTTTACACCCACTTAAGGGATGTGTTCAGATGTGGTGGGGTTTACTGGAAGTGTTATACATGCGTTAAACTGATGTTTGGTTGTGAAACTCTTAAATTCTTAATTGAAATATTTCTCAGGTTATGACCACTGCTACATGCAAATGATAGTTCCACTGATCTTAAGCTATTATATAACTAGTAACTGTCCTTGTTTTGTCCCATCTGCAGTTTTTTCTTGTATACAATAATGTACTCTTTTTCCCTGCCACTTGTGAGAAACTTATTGTGGGAAAACGCGAAAGTATTTTGTGGTAAAGGTAAGTGCCTTAATGTATCAACTTTTTGATACTGTATAACAAGTCACATCCATATTTTTGTAATGTTTTTATTGGATAAAAATGTGAGTAGTAATTTCAGAAATATGGTTTGCAAATGGTTTGTAAATTAATCTTGTCTGAAAATGACAGAATAAAGGCTGCCTCATTTGCACTACAATTGTGTGTGTATGTGGGGGGTCAGATATATAAAAATCATACAATCCTGTTATTTTTATATTGTGGGGACCATTTTTTTAGGAGGACCTGTATTGTGTTTGGTTACTTATGGTTAAGGTTAAGGTTAAGGTTAGGGCTGGGTAGGGGATAAGGTCGTCATTAGTGGGATTAGGGTTATGCCCATAGAAATGAATGGATGGTCCCCACAAAGATATGAGTACAGGTGTGTGTGTGTGTGTGTGTGTGTGATTTTACTGGAATCAGATCAGGAGTTTTTCTGCTCCCCATCTCAATCTTAAATACAATCTAAAAGAAAAGTGTGTGTGTTTGAGAGAGAGAGAGAGAGAGAGAGAGAGAGAAAGGAGGGGGGGCGGATCTCTCTAAGTCTGAGAACAATAGAGAAGCAGCAGCTTGACTACCATACCTAAAGTTTAGAAAACAGGCTTTTTTGTGGGGGCTGACGGGACAAGGCAGCCATGTTCTTAAATGCAAGCTTAACTTCACGTCCAGATTGGCTGTCTGGGTTTACATTGACTAATTAAGTTTCCACCCCCTTAATTACAGATACAGACAACGCATTGATTAACGATATTTTTCTTCATTTTGGTGTTAATACTTTTATTATTCGTCGTGAGAAATTTCTGTTCCCTCTTGGTTTTTGTGAAGCTCCGTTAAAAGTTTTGTAGTACCTCAGTGAAGTCTCTATTTTCCAGTTAAAACAGCAGAGGGCGATATTTACCAACTTATGGACGAGGTGTTTTATCTGCACGGAAAATCACGTTATACAGTTATTAACCAGGCGACCCCAAGTCGTCCGTAACCAAAGCTGCCAGGGTTTCGGGACTGTTGTTTTGTTGGCCAGCCACTGTCTGATAGTATCTAAATGAAATTACTTTTAAATATAACCTCGGAAGAAAACGTTAGAATATTGGCATGATTAGGTACTCCACAATCGAGTGAGGTTATTACAACTTCACAATTCAGTTCAAGTACTTTGTTTAACTTTATTACTGCAGAGTCCCTGGGGTTTTAATCGGGAAACTGACTTTCTAGTCCAAGTCCTTAATTACTGCCTTTTCCCGCTTATAGTTAACTTTAACTGTAAGTTAGGCCATATTTTATGATTAAACCTGCACGGACACATGCAGCATACAAAACTTAGTATAGCTCTCTCTCCTGCACACGCACACTGCTGTCTTGTGTACACAATCCAACAGTCAAACTTCCAGGATGCGTCTCACCCTTCGGTTGTCTTACAGCCATGCTTAGATGGTGATCGCAGCCCAGTCCTTGGATGCAGTTTGCCAGCGCGGCGCAGGTCGATGCGAGTCACAGTAACAAACGGAGAGCGAGAGATCTCTACTTGGAAGACCTGTTCATTAATGTGTACAATGTGTATTGTGCTTTTTATCTAAAACCCTATGGTACAACAAAATTCCAGGCACCAGGCAGTAATATATGCGATAAATGTATTTCTGTTTTCAAATCAACAAACGTAGCTGTGGGATGCATCCATTTTAGCGTATTTAATTCTTGTCTGGCTCTTGCCGAGGCCTTGAGTGTCTCCGGCAAAGACTCTACGGGTGTCTGTGCTCATCTCTTAAAGGTCTCCAGAAAAAAAGGTAAGAACAAGATTTCTTTGGCCATTTCTGTTGGTGTGCATCTCACCAGATATCGCAGCGTGGATGCTTTTGTTTGTTTTACTTTTTTTTTTTTTAATTTCTAGGGCCATAAATTGATGGCTCATAATTTAACATATTGCCAAACAACAACACGAAGATGAAAGAGGACCTCAGCCTTAAGAGACGATTTGTCTCTCTTGCCCTCGGACTTATTGGAATTCCCGGGATGGGTTCAGTTATTCTGCTCGGACTTAAGTCGGAACCGACCAAAGCGTCCCCAGGTTTATGCAAACGTGCCGTGTTGTCCTCGATAGTAATTACTAGCCCACCTCGCCGCTGTGCTGTAACTCACTATGCAAATGTGATGCGTTTTGCATATGAGGTGGCGCAGAGCCAGTCGAGCTGCAAAGCAGCAGGCAGATGTGCGGCGGAGCTCCAACGGCACGTTGCGGCTGCAGCTTTACATGCCAATGTCCCCATGAAAGGTTCGGAGTCACGTGACCAGACTGAACACCTTTTAAGCTAGAAAAGCTTCATTAATTCCATGGTTCCAAAACAACCGGAATAGTGATTATTTAAAATGTCAAAAGAACCGACAAGATAGTGACTAAATAGTCAATAAACAATTAATGCATTTTTAACCCACGGGATACCACAAAATTTTTAAATATGAATATTTAATCTAAAAACAGCTTTATGATCTGTCCAACTGATTTGTGAAATACAAAATATACGTAAATGTACGAATCAGGCTACAGCCTAATTACGTAACCTAAGTTAATACATTTGTTAATTCTGTATAAATACCTGGGTACAGTCCTGCAGTGGCCCCTTACTAATCTTTTGATGCAACGTGTATTTTTCTAGGCAAACAAGATAATGGTAAAAAAATAAACGAAACTTTTTAACTGAATATATTATACAATAATTAGTATGTTTTATGCAATAATGCCACGGTTAAATATTTAAAATAAGCAAGAACAATACATTTCACGAACTACCTGACGCTGTCTGAACAACTTGCAAGTGTTACTTTCTAACCAAAACCGATTTTGCAGATGTACGTCCTTTGTCATGTTTTAAAATGGGAATACATAAGAAACGAAGAAACGTGGTGCTGCGTGATGTTAAGACACCATCACTGTATGAGCTTTCAGCATAGATAGTTACCTGCGCCTGCATTGAGTCAGACTAAGATCCCGCTTCCATTGACATTTGCTAGAGTAAGGAATGCAGTTGGAGAAGCTAGTTTATACCAAATTTTCCAATGCATTTTACAGCAGGCTGTATCACCGAAGGCTGAAATGTTGCAAAGGATTTAGCAGATCTAAAACAAGGGGCTAAACTTTCAAATAAGTACAGGAGTGACGCAGCTGAACTCTTGAGCTTGACACTTAACTCGAATCGGATGGAAACCGAAATGTAAGATTCTGCAATATGTTAGAAAATTCTGAGCCGCGTTCTGGGTTCTGGATAATGGGGTATGCTATGCAAATTAATCATTTTGAAGTCAGGCCTTTGTTGTTTTATGCAAAAACACAGAGATGGGATAGGCTGCTGTGGGGTCTTCATGCAAATTGCTTCTCTGACAGGCAGATGATAGAAAGGCAATCTTCTTACACTGACCCAGTTAGCTAAATTAGTTGCATGTTAGTGTATTTTGGGTGGATTTGAATAAAATAGTACATTGGGCAGTAATTGGCATAAAATCTTGAACTAAGGGACCATTTAAATGCAACCAGTAAGTGGAAAGAAATTGATCAAGGTGAAGGGAAATTCTTTAATAATATTTTGTATTCTCTTGTTTTATACATTTTGAAATAAATACTTGTATGTATAAATGTATTGGCTGATAGTCGTGTGCAGGTAAGTTTACGGCACTACATTTTTTTTTTAAAGAACTGAAACTGAGGAAGATGTAAAATCCAACTATGTTAATTTAAATGAAAACAGCTGACTGAACGAGAGAGATGGAGACGGGGTGGAGAGTGACCGTGTGGCCAAGAGTAAATGGGGATATCCTTGAACTTATGAATATTATAACAGCAGTGTGATGCGCCAGAAAATTTGTAAGTGGGGCGCATTAGAATAACCTCAAGATCATTTCACTGTTACTGCAGCAATGGATCGCCTTGTTTCAGCATAAAGTTGTGCTGCATAGTAAAATCAGCTGTTTTTATTATTGCAGATATTAAGATGAGTGGAGAGTCAGTGGAGCGGACAGAATCCCACAGTGATCAAGCAGGTAAGGCTGTTTAAGTTTGCCTCCAATATTAAGCACTGTTATGATATCCTGCCAATCTGTTTACTTTGAGGTTTGGAGTTTGGGTTCGTCTGACAGTTTTGGTATGTTTCAGTGCCTCTTGGCATCTGAATAAGGGAAGACTAGCATTGCTCAGTGAAGGCATGTTGTCCTATTGCAGCAAGATTGTGTAAGACATCTGTCTGATATTTTTATTATTATTATTTGTTATTATTAATATTATTATTATTATTAGTAGTAGTAGTAGTAGTAGTAGTATAGAAGTATTGTTAGCAGTAGTAATCTTAGTAGCAGTATTGGGATTTGTTGTGAGATCTAACACTAAAATGAGTGACCTGTGACTTCTTCATCCATGTTGATGGTGGTATGGTTTTTGATTAGGTGCGTAGGTTGGTACCCCAGCTTTGAAGAGATTTGTCCTCTTTATCATTAGCTTTTATTGGCATGTGTTTTTATATCCCAGTAACACTTTTGTGTCGGTGTGCAATTATACTTTTCACGGCGAGCTCAATTTGCGAATAGAGGAACAGCGTGGACAGGTGAATTTGTCGGCTCGTGCAAAAGTTACGCGTCAATCGACCAATGGGATTACAGGAGAGATGAAACGTAAGACAGCTGTCAACTGCAAAGAGCATTTTTCAATTTAACACAAGAAGCGCAACTTGAGTGATGTGACATTTAGAAGAAGCGACACGGTGGGATAGTGTTAGTCATCCGTCAGAACTGTTAAAGAGGGGAAAGTTTAGTTGCTGCCCTGTTAAGCTGTGGGTGTGGAGATTGGGGGTAGCGTGAAGGAGGCTGCTGCTCTCATGCAGGAGTTGGGGTGGCAGAACGGCCTGCAGCTAAGCCGTACGATGTGGAACAGGCAGACCGCGAAATGAGGAACTCAGGTCCTAGAGAACTGACTACTGTCGTGTGATTCTGCTTCAACGAACCATTCAATGAATGTCCCCTTTTCTAGCTGTTGATAATATCTGGCAAAACTTCAGCTGTCATTATTTGAAATTCTCTCCCATAGTTAACTGGAAGCTAATGTTGGTTTTTTTGGTCAGTTACATTATCTAAAAAATTGGAGTTGAATCCAGCTTCAGCCGGCAGATGATTGTGGGCGTTTCTGCAGCATCCCTTGAATCCCATTACGTTAGATTAGAGATAATGTTCTACTTAAAGTCAAAGAAGCAAGAAACAGGTAATATCCCCCTTAGACCCCACCCATTCATTTATGTCCATTGTAGTGGACATTTTGTTTTTGCATCTATCTTTTCACTGATGTAAGGAAACATATTTATTCCTGTTGTACTCTAAAGAGGACATGCTCTGAAATTAAAAATAAAAATAAATTAGAAAAAATCTAAATTGTAAGATGTCTCACTTCCTCCAAAGACAAATATCCTAAAATTGAAGGACACTTTTTTCCACTTTTTTCACATGCCAGATTAATATAAATACAAATAACATCTGATAATTTCCTAGAATATGTAGCACATTAAAATAGTATATAGAAGTTTAAAATATAGATATTGTCAAGTAATGGTAGGGTAATCTATTCAGAGTACAGGGTTTCTTGTAAATCCAATTTATGGTCTGTCTAACTGATTTGTGAAATACAAAATATAAGTAAATGTACGAATCAATATAAGAGAATTAGGCTGTAATTACGTAACCTAAGTTAATACATTTGTTAATTTTTTTGGCTGTAAAATTACAATTTACAGAATTGACCATTTTTTTTTCCCATGTTCTTTTTCATATACCTTTATGGATATGTGTTTAGGTTAATGAAGATATTTTCTTTAGCTTTCTAGAGATATGTGTTTAGTAATTATAGTTATTTATTCAGTCATTTGTGTATATTACTTGGTCATTTGTGTATCTAGAAATTCCTGTGGTGTATTCATGCTTGGTGTAATGGGATAGTAAGAAACAATTACTTAAAAATGCATTCACAATTCAGTCTGCTGTTAAATGCCAGAACACATAAAATAATGATCATTTTTGTTGCTACGGGGACCAGTGCTAGATTACTTTATATACTTAAGTTCTTAAAAATGAAAGTGGGACGTGATTAAGTGTTACATTATACACACGCTGCTAAAATAATAAGATCAAATCCACTATAATGGCAGGGAGATGCCTGGATTATTGTGCAGAATACTTTTTAAAACACTTTTTAAATCCTGGGATGATTCGTTGCTGTTGGGCCTTTGCTTTAGTAAACATCAAGTTACAGATGTTGATCTGGAGGAAGATGCCTGGCGAGAAAGTATTAAAGCAATACAAGCAGATACTTAATCAGCATCAAGCAGTACCATTTCTGTCTACCCAGAATCCTTCAGGAGGAAGACAGGAAGGTGTGGGACAGTTGCATTATTTATCTGTGTATTTGTTTAGCTAGCAGCCTCTGTTTAATTAGATGCTATACTTTAGGCTCACTTTCGAAGAGTTTTACTGGTTACTACCGGTTTTGAAAATGTAGCTTTTACGGAAGGTATTCAGGCTGTGGATGTGACTGTCAAATATGGTGAGCGGAACTCCGCGTAGCGTTAGCAAAGTTTCTGTTGCAGCCGCAGGTCCTTAAGTGCCAAGGTGCGATTGCCCCCCATGAGGTTAGCTGTGGTGAGGGCCACAGAGAATGAGAGAGCACACTGCACCCCCCCAGTCCACCTACCACTCCAGCCCCTCTGTGGTTCCCACAAGTCTCCCAGCCCATGGACTTAAGCAGGCTGTCATGGAGACCGATCTCAGGCCTAATTTGCATAGCCTTGCGATTTCCATACTGGAAGTCTGGCTTTAGAGGGAATAAAAATTTCCATATGGTGGCTGTGCAACATCACAGTCTGCTGTGGACTCCCAGAACTCCAATTTGGAAATCAAATGAGCAAGATTACCCCACACGCGAGATGTTTGATCGACCTGCAGTCTGTGCGGCCTCTTTCCATGGCAGGGAGAGGGACACAAAGTCTTGGCAAAATGCTTTTCCCAGTTTTTTGGATTTGATCTCTTTATTGAGTGTCTGTCATAATATCACAACACATCCACAATGCCCGGACAGACCACTCAATGATATAAGTGGGTTTCAGTTACACTATAAACCAAGAATCATTTAACGCGAGTTTCCCACTGATATTCTGGAATGACAAGTTTATCATTCCTGTGATTACTCTCCAGATCAGTTCAACTAACTCTTTTAAATATTATTTTCCAGACAATGAACAACATGAACTTGACTTCACAAGACAGGTGAGTGTAGCTCTGACCCATCTGTGCTCATGACTTATTCCAGCACATTGAGGGCTATTCTTGGGACAAGAGTCCTTGGTTTCATGTAACCGGTGTTACCTCAGAGGTGATATTACGGCTCCTTTAAAATGATACGTAAACGCTTACATAAAGACATAAATGAAGATATTTATAAGTGCTAATCCATAAACGATAGGGCTTGGTGCCAAAGCGGTACAGGAACTGCCCCCAACGCACAGTGAGTCATTTGCATGTGCTGTTGCCAGAAGGGAGGGAAGAGAATGGCAGAACAGGGTTTGTTTGCCAAAGGTCCTATCTTGTCTAACCGGTACAGGGGTACATAATGGCACAGAGAGCAGAAAACAACAGATGTCTGCCGGTTCTTCATACTTTTTGTTTGATTAAACCCCCACAGGATATCTGATCCCCATCGTTCAGGGGATTCTGCCAGTTCCCGAAGCTGCTTATATTTGATCGAAAGCCGATTTGGAACTGAAGGATACTTCTAAGGATCTATGTGGTAAATGAAAACCTCTTTGTTTTTTGTTTTTAGATTAAGACCGAGGAGATCAGCGAATCCCCGCACTCCATTCCATCACACAAGACATGTCACCTGACACAAGGATCTCCCATGTCCACCGGGCACTTGACAGGGGTATGGGCTTCACGTTCCAACTTTTGCAACAGTGACATCTAGTGGCTGGTGATAAGACCAGACTGGTATGAACTGGACACCCCAGACATTTATCAAAGTTTTTAATCTCATTAAACCATTTTAATGAAAAATGCAAAGCCTGGTTTTTTATTTTTAGTATATGCATTTTTATGTTATATACTTAACATTTGTCATAAATTAAAATTTATCGAAACTGTATTTAGCTTGATGCTACATTAGCTGTAAAAAGCAGAGTAGGTGAGTACGTATGCTAACACGCTGTCCGGTCCTGTATTTTTGTATCCCGCAGGACCTGCCCTCCCTACACCCACTTCAGCAGCTGGTCCTCATGCCCGGATCACATATTCCTGCCTCCTCATCCCTCTTGCTGTCTCAGACACAGACTGGGCACCAAGGTAAACCCAGTGTCTTATAGCCAACAAATGCATAGAGTATACAACGCATCTGCAACATATTCTTTAGATGGGGCTATAATACCAATACAGTAAAAAAAACAATCAATGAAAAATGAACATGCTTATTTTCTCATTTCCTACCCGCCCGTCCTATCTGTACTATGTACTATGTATCCAATCAAGGTTCATAGTTAATTACATATCCAGACTGAATTATGTCTTCTGGCTTTTACACCCTATTCATATTTACCGCTGTTACCTTAAACTGTTATATTTCAGTAAGTGATACTATTATGTTGGAAGAGGTGCGATATAAAAATTAATTAAATTCAAAACTGAATGCTCCTGGCAATTGAGGGCTCTAAGCGGTTGGGAAAGTAGAGTATTGAACTTCTCTGTTGTGACTTGACAGTAAAAAAACTGCTTCATGTGGTATTTCAGTCACGTCAGAACTTCTAAAACCACTCCTGACTGGTTGAGCCTTTTATTTTAAGATTTGTCGTTTTTTTGGGCATTGCTGAGAACGGCATTGGCTCTTCTTTATCTGTGCCACAGCCTTGCTGCAGCAAAATCTACTTTCCCACTCCCAGTCAGGCCCCATGCAGCACCAGCCCGGATTGGCGATCACTCCACAGGTAAGGAGCTGATTCCGGGGGGAGGAATTGCACAGTCGCAGTTTAATGTCTCTGATGGAGTAAAAACCGAAATACTGTAGGATGACACCATTGTCGAATGAAAACGGCGCAAACTCTATAAATGGAAACAACTGCACTCAAAATATTTAAATATATACAGCTACGGAAAAAATTGAGACCACAGCAAAATTTTCAGATTCACTCTCAATTTCTCAATTTCTGGATATGCGCCTATACATTTTTTTTTGTATATTCCACCCTGGTTCTTCTCTGTTTCTCATTGATTGATGAAAGCTTCTTCTTTGCTTTGTTCAGTCCTGCTTCTGGGAGCCTGTTATGAATTGTCCTAGCAGTGAACTTCATACCACTTAATGTTTCCCATTCTTTTTGAAAGTCACTTGAGATTTTTTTTTTATTTAAATGTAGAGTGGTCCATTATTTTTTTTCCAGAGCTGCATAATATATCAAAAATACATGAACAATATTTATTGAGTGATTTCTTCTTTGCCATCTGACTATTTGATGCAGGCAATGAGTCGGTCAGGCCTGGCTGGGTCCTCACTGGACGGGCATCCGGAGATGCCCCATCTTCAGGTTCCCAAACACATGGCCCCTATGCAGCAGGATGAGCCCAGTGACTTGGAGGAGCTGGAGCAGTTTGCCAAGGCCTTTAAGCAGAGGCGCATCAAACTGGGCTTCACTCAGGTACAGGCACTGCTTCCAAAGCCTTCTGCCCCATATCATCGTACGTTGGAGGTGAGGGACTACAGATGGGGTCGGGTGTCATGAACACAGGTCCCCCCACAGGGCGATGTGGGACTGGCCATGGGAAAGCTGTACGGGAATGATTTCAGCCAGACCACCATCTCTCGCTTTGAGGCGCTCAACCTGAGCTTCAAGAACATGTGCAAGCTGAAGCCCCTGCTGGAGAAGTGGCTGAGCGACGCAGGTAGGCAGGAGACCCGCTGGTTAAATGAAAGATGGCGACAAAAGATTCTGGTCAAGCCCTTCTGATTCTGTTTGCATGACTATTCATTATGATTCAATCAGGTGACAATTGGAGAACCTTTTTTAAAACCTGCATAAAAACTTCAAAAAGCTTGTGTTTTCATTTTATTAGAGAATTAACTGAATGTGCTTCAAATGCCTTTGAATAAATAATAGAGATTTGCTGCCATCTATTGTTCACACACTGTCAAAAAAAAAAAAGAGTACCAATTTGTACCTTTGCTTGTCACTGGGGCTGTACCCTTAAGTGTCTGCTAATTGTACCTTATAGCTGTAGGTACTTGTACCTTTTAAGATACAGACATGGACTCTGAGGAACATTTTTATATCACTGGGGGTACATTAATGTTGTTCGTATCTTGGGCATGTTCCTCAGAGTCCATTTATGTACCTTAAATTAGACTAAAGGGTACATTTACCTACAGCTATAAGGTACAATTGTCAGACCCTTTAGGGTACAGCCCCAGTGTCAAGCAGAGGTACAAATCGGTACCCTTTTTCCTGACAATGTAGTGAGAACAATTACTGAATTTCACCAAACCATAGATTTGTCCTGAGAGCAGACTGACAATTTTAGCGGAGTTTTGTTTGCAACATTTAGATTTTCAAATAAATAAATGTACAATTAAGGATACTGATATGTAATTCAAAGAGATATTAACAAATATATGCAATTTTGCATTCAATTTAGTGCTAAATTCATTCTGTAAAGAGTCTCCTGGTCTGACATAGACACGCACACACACTTTCTAGAAATAAAATTCATCCTAAAGGTGCAACCCCCCCCCACCAGAAAACTCGCCATCTGATGCTATAGCCAGCACTACTACCCTGCCCCCGCCAATGGAAGGTTACGTTAGAAAGAGGAAGAAGAGGACAAGCATAGAAACCAACATCAAGATGACTTTAGAGAAACGCTTTCATGATGTAAGTACACTCTTGTCTGAATGTGGGCTTGCTTGTTTACCAAATCATGCATCAGCGCTTAATTGAGTGGCCGTATATTTGTTTAGGTGATTCATGTTAGGTGCTCAGAGATCTAAGAGCAGTCTCACATGTTCAGTTCCAGAACACTACTTCACAGACCATTGTCACACCCTTTGTAACATAAACCAGGGAACAAGAACTAACTTGCAACAATGTTGTCGGTAAATTTTGCTGTTGTAAAGGATACCTTGGAATTAAAGAACGCCGTGTACTATTGACAAGGAGTGCCTGTGACTCAGATTCGGAGCCCGCACTTTCATAGCATTTAGCACACCACACAAAGGCCTCGCTGTCTGTCTGTGTATTTTTACCCCAGAATCCCAAACCAAACTCAGAGGAGATCACGCTGATCTCAGAGCAGCTGGCGATGGAGAAGGAAGTGGTCCGGGTCTGGTTCTGTAACCGGAGACAGAAAGAGAAGAGGATCTACTGTCCAATGTCTACTCCATCCTTGAAACCTCCCAGTTACAACTCCAGACTTGTGAGACTACGTCCTTCACTGCTCATTTACATCAGTTCTGGACCTTTGCTTCTAATAGAACGTCTGCTTCCAGGTGCATATACTGACCCATCTCACAATGACAAAACGTCCTTCTTAATTCTACAGGTCCCAACCTCCAGGTCATTCAGTCCGCATACAGCAAGTGCAGGTGAGTGATTTGGTGACAAGATACTAAACCTAATGTGAGAAAACATATAGAAGATCTAGATAGATATTCAGTAATATGCAAACCATAGATGCACTCGGTCTTGACAAAAACCATTCTAGAACACTTAACCTACAAGGGATGGAGTGAAATGTAATGGAACAGAATGGAAACACTTAAGATTTTAATATTACGGACCTAATAAGGAACTGGTTTACCCTTTGCCTTAGGTATCAGACCTTTTTATAGCTGACAGATGCTTATAACTGGCTTTCAGTCTTTTGTAGCTGCATTTGTGATTGTGATTTATTTAAAATTTAAAGTTATTTTGATGTTTTGTTTATGTCATGTTCTTATGTTTCAGTTACATTTATATGTTGAGTAGTGTAAAGGTTAGTCTTCTCCATTACGGGCTGTGCATTTTAATGTGGTTATATATAGTTTCCATCAGCATGAATGTGTGTTTTTCGTCCGAGGTACTGAACTCCTGCTGTTGACACAGTTAGGTCCTCTTGTTCTTCCAGTGTCGTCCAGTTCATCTCCCAGCAGTCCCAGTCGTGGATCTTCTCCTAGCCCTCTCACTTCACAGGGGGTCACCCAGTCCATCAACACCACAGGGTATGAAACCTTCTCCCGCCTTCTTTCTCACTGTACACGTCTTTAAAAGTGCTTCCTTCAGCCCTACAACAAGCCTACTAGCACTGCTTTAGACACTGAACCTCTTACTTCTACTTGCCTGTCGTTCCTGTGGCTCTGTTACAGCTTCAGGTCGGTCATCGTCAGCATGTGGCTCAATGAGTTAGACCTCTCTGCCTGTAATTGGAAAGTTACCAGTTTGAATCCCATTTTCGGCAGAATAGTCACTTCTCCATTGGGCCCTTGAGCCATTTTACCCCAACCCCCCCCAACAACGCACCAGGGGTACCGTATAAATGGCTATTAAGACCCCAATAATGCACTTGGGCCCAACCTTTACCTGTATATTTGTGTGAATATGTCTCAAAGGACAGCAAGATGGCAGATGTGAAAAGAAGCATTACAATAGCTTGTACTTCTGTACTTCAGCAAATAAAGAATCATCAATTTAAAAAATGGTCTTCGTTAACTGAATAGACAACATGGACGTTTTTGTGTGTAACATTTCCTATTTCTGGGAATAAACCATTTAATTCCTAGTCATTCCTCAGAGCTTGTTTTGAAAACAGCCAGTTTAGTGATTTAAGAGATAAGGATGTGGCCAATGTGTAACCAGACTTTTGTGTGATTGAATGCTTTCAGGTCATGGTACAGAGCATGGAACTCCTCCTACCTTCACTGATGGAGGACAGTTGGCTTAAAGTCTGTAACGCTTAAAAGCCAGATGTGCAAAAAGTTTACTTGAGTGAGCTCAGCAGAAAAGAAGGACATCAGCATGAATAACAAGCAGGGCTCAGAACAACGTTACATATATTTCTGCAATAAAGTACAATAATTGTATGGCAACTCTACGTTGATTTAAATGAAGACTTTTGATACCTCCTGTTTTTGTTTTAAGTTTGACAACACAATGTGCTTGGTGAACTGAAACACTTTACGGCATCTGGAATGTGGTGAGAGAGATCTCCAATGCAGCACTTCCAGAAGGTTCTACAAGCTATTCTCACAACCGCATTTATTGAAGAAGTGCCCTTTTTCAATATTGGGCACCGAAACACAGAGTGGAAAGACATCAGTCATTTAGATTGTATTTATTGAGCAAGTCTATCTGAATATATTGTGAATAAAATCGGTTAATATTTTCTGTTACCTGCATATTTTCGTTTTATACGAGTTTTGAGAAGTTGGCAAATGTGCATTTAAGAATATCTTTGATATTAATTATTCATGAATTATTAGGTCTGTCTTTTTTTCTTTCACACTAGAGTGGTTATGGGTGATTTTTTTTTATTCTTAAATTTTGCTAAAATCTTACAGTTTTGAAGTTACGTGTGTGTGAAAATGTCACTGTATACATTTTGAAGACACTTTGTCCTATCATTCTAATATTTGACAGTGGCTTTTAAAGATGCGCAAAACACTGATTTCAATGTTTTAAAAATGAAGAAATAAAATTTGTACATACTGTTTCTTTCGGCTAATGAAAATTGATTACCACTTTTGTGATATACTGTATGGGTGATAAGATTTTTTTATACAAACCTCTACGTCCATCGAAAAATGCTTTTAAGTGATGCATTTAGTTCTGTCATAGCCGTCCGTAAATCACTTCTGCGGCGTTGCCCCTCCCGGTGGCAATGGCAACTTTATTTATAACCTACTTTACACACAACGAAGTTGACCAAAGTGCTACAAGTGTATCAGAATACGAATAAAAGCCAAAAATAAACTAAAAATCACACGCAGTTGTTTTGAACGCCAGTAGATGTCGCCAAATATTTTTTTTTATATATACACACACACACTTGGATGCACATCTCAAGATGGTTGTAAACTGCCCATCCCACTTGGTTAATAACCTGCCAGCAGCAATGGTAAGACGGTTAGATGGCTTTTATGCGGTTTATCCACCACATCATGAATAAGGGGTAGGCGTACCACCAGTTCAGGATATGTGGTGGGGTAAACTGAGGGGGAAAAGACAGCATTACTACGAGCACTCATGCATTATTCAGGTAGGTGGGCTAGATGTACAGTAGACCCTACCGTTATCTTTAATGCTTTAGGTTTGGCTAATCCGATTGACCGATACGTACGTGTTATTTGATTACTCGGTATCAAAAATCTTTAACTAGTAAAAAGTTTTACCGTGATTAATACTGATGGGCAGGCGAAAGTTGTTGTAGGTAACAGGTTTGAAACCTGCTTCTGCTTTAGAAAATGTCTCATTCAAATCGGTCGCTGTTTGAGTTTCTTTTATGGGTTTTTTTCTATCTAATGCAAGAAAACATATCCGTACAGGTGGTTTTTGTTTTTCTTTGTCAATGTTCTAGCCAAATGTAATTTAATAAATGTTTACATGTTATGGACTTGGTTTAACACAGTCTGCAAATAAAAATTTCAATTTGCAGTGTTATTATTGTAGTTTATTAACACTAGTGCGAGAGTGGATTCCACTATAGGTATTTAAAATTGTTTTGCTTAGTGTTTAGGAATGCAAGACCAAATATCACGCAAATCTGTTAATGGAATAAAATGTTATACTGACTTTTAAGGACTGATGTGAGGTTTTTACAAAACATGGATGGTTATATTTAAATGTGTGGGCTTTACAGTAACCAGATATTGCTGCAGACCTTACCAGTGGTCTCCTTCCTTTTAAAAGTCAGCCAGCCTCCAAAGCCGTGTGGGTTTAATGTCGTAAGACTGTCAGACGGAACTTAAGCCCGATCTGTCGGACCCCTCCCCCCGCCAGGATCGTATTTAGCCTCGGCCGCCCTGCCCGCTGATACCTTCTTACGAAGTATCCCCCCCATTATTTGCGCCATAATTTGCGCCCATGATCGTCCCCGAAGTACAAGCATCTACCTAGGTATGGGATGGCGGTGGCTCTTGGATTGTAGTTTGATTTATGACGTCATTGCTGCATCCCAATGGTAAATGGTGTTGCTTGCCGGCAGCTCAGCCCTAATACGTTAGGAGAAAAGGCTTTCTAATCTCCAGTGATTTTTGTTGCTAATGAGATGTTAAAATACGGGACACTAAAGAGTGGTCTGTACTAGGCTTTTTTGAGGGGAAACAAATGAACAATGTGGTTTGGATCTATGCTAGAAACAAGGGTCAGAATGCTGTGCAACTGCAATTTGTAACAACATGTATTTCAATGAAGTTACTTTGCGTATGGTGCCCATCTTAAAATCCCATTAACACTATGGTTCTGAATTCTCGAACAAATTCTGGTGGTAAACGTAAAATTTAAATTCCATGATGGTTCACAGCCAGTGCTGGTGCTAGAAAATGTAGCGCACTAGCTGAGCATCGCTGCCCGCGGCCCCCGTCCAAGGCAAAGTGAAATTGCCCCTTGAGAAGTTGGCGTCCTAGACCAACCTATATGTTACCTATAGGATAGACTGGCTCTGAGTATAATATTATGGAAACAGCATTGAAAATATTCACAGGACCTGTTAATCAATCCTGTTTGTCCTTGTATTTTTTTTTTTTTACTCTTTTTCCCAGAAAGGATATGACATCATTATCGGTGGCGTGCAGCCTGGTGTGTTGGGTGCTCCTTTACACCTGCCTCTGTCTCCACAACAGCCGCCGCAGCTATGAGTGGAACTGTCGGCTGGTCACTCTGCTCCACGGGATCCTCTGCGTGTGTGTGACAGCCTACATAGGCTTCGCCGACGGCCCCTGGCCCTTCACACACCCAGGCACGAAAGACAACTTGCACATTCAGACATTCACTACTGGTTACTTAATACAGCTCATTTTGGGGAAGGAATCTCATGGCTGCTAATGCCATTATGCCCCCCCCCCCCTAAGATTCCCTATGAGGTATTTCAAGAACATGGTTCCATCCTGGTACTTGATAGAAGTTGATAGAAATTATGCGATGCAATCAATCTGAACACTGTGCTGCCAGTTGCCGTAATCTAAATTAGAGATACAAGTATCCATGTTATGGATACACATGCACGCAGATATACTGATATACATATTCCTCCCTAGGATATTTTCACAGCTTTACCGCAGCTTTTTATAGATCCAGCTTGTGCTATTATCTGCAGCACAAACACATTTACGCAGCATATCTAGAAGGATTTAGGAAGCAAAGTTAGCCTGTGTTTAATGGGAAAGGACCAGACTGCGATTAAAATTCTGACTTTGTATGGTATTCTGCAAAAATGCTTTAAAGTATCCAGCTACCTAAACTAAAAGTAAAACTAGTACCCCTGGAGCTGGGGTTTAAGGATGGATGTGTGACTGTTCTGCCAAGACTTGGACCAGTGACCTTCTGATCACATGATCACAGACACAGGGGCTTAGCCTACTGTGCAAAATTCCACCACCAGTGAACATGTAGATGTGGGGTCTGTACAAATAAGCATAGAATCAGTAGGAGTATAAAATACTGTGGGTGACTAAGTATAACAGGGATGCCAACTCGAGTGAGATTTTCAAGACAAGTTACGTTCAATTACATGTATGTAACAGTTCTATTACCTTGTAAATAGTCTGTAGGGTTTGTGAACTACCCCAGCGCTTTTGATGTAGCAAATTTTAGGTTTTCAATGGAATAGTATAGGTTTGTCGTAAGATCTTTTTGCGTGAGAGTCTGAAAGTGTAAATGTCACGCCAGATGCGTGAAAGTTGGCAACCCTAGTATAAAACGTCCCATAGGTGCCAGTATGCTTCTTGATGTAAGCATGTATACGTAGAACACTGGTAACATTAACAGCCAATTGTTGTGTTTTGAGTCCCTGACAGGCCCCTCCCTACTCACATTCCTCACAGGCGTGGAGAACACGGCGCTCCAGGTCGCCGCCATGTCCCTCAGCCTGGGCTACTTCCTGTTTGACATGGGCTGGTGCATATACTTCCACACGGAGGGACCAGTGATGCTGGGCCACCATGGCTTAAGCATCCTGGGCATCCTGTTGGCGCTGGGCTTGGGCGAGTCCGGCACCGAAGCATGTGCCGCCCTGTTCGGCACCGAGATCACCAACCCCCTGCTGCAGGCGCGGTGGTTCCTGCGGCAGATGGGACGCTATGAGGGGCTGGCAGGTGACGCCGTGGACCTGCTGTTTGTGGCGCTGTTCACGTCCGTACGCATCGGCGTGGGCAGCTGGATGCTCTACTGCGAGCTCGCCTCCCCCAGGCCGTCGCCGCTGATGAAAGCCGGTTCTGTCGCCATGTACGTGCTCTCGTGGGTGTTCATGGTGGACATCGCTCGCTTCGGTTTCCGGAAGAGCAGGGCCAGATACCGGACGTGGAAGGAGCGGCGTAGGATGCTGGAAGTCAACGGGAACCCTGGGAAGGCTGACTGAAACTGAGCTTATGTACTGAGAGGTGATACGGCTTCATTGCTGTTGGGAAAGCAGTAAGGAAAAGCTATCCGAAAAGGAGGGAAGATTTTGGACAGTGACGTAAACAATTTTTCTTTGATCTGAATTAAAGCCGTAAAGTTCATCGTTCCCATATGTCACGTGTATCTTAGGCTGTTTTATGGAACAAAGAAGAGCTTGAATCTTTCATTGGAGGTTTGCTTACTGCTAGCTTCTTTAGTAAATTCCATTTTGAAAGGCTTATTATTGCATATCCTAGTAGCTGACCTCCTTAGGACAGCGATGTGAACTCAGTCCTGTGAGGCCTGCCACACGTCTCCCTCTGCTGACACCATGTCACTGTCATTGAATGACAAAGCTCATTTATGGGAATGCAGTTCTTGGTTTCACCCACATTGTTCTAAGTGCTCAGCCATCATCAGTGTGTATGTGGGGGGGCACCCCTGCTAATGTGGTGGCACATCAGTGATTTTTGGCCCTGATCTTCAGTCTAGGGCATTGTTTCCCAACCCATTCCTCAGGGACCCCCATCCAGTCTGCATTTTTTGTCCCTCGCAGCACCTGGCCAGTGGGGAACACTGGATATCTGGTATAGGAGCTGAGAGACTGTGAAAATGAGGCCCTGTCTGGGGGTCCTTGAGGATTGGGTTGGGAAACCATGGTCTAGAGTATTTCTTGTTTTGACTGGTGCATAACTGGGGAAACCAAAGGGTCTTCATTTGGGATAAACAAAACCAAATTTTCATATGTTCTTATTATCCAGGACAGGAATGAACAGTTATGCCACCATTAACTGGTTCTTTATTTGGTGTAAAACAAGTTTGAGAAACACTCATCTTTCGTCAGCTACCAAACATTTTTGCCTCATTACGCCGTATCACTGTTTTGTCATGATTAATGTGTCAAAAGGAGAGAAATGTGATCTTAATACCAAGGAAGACTGTTTCATAGTGACAGGAAAGACAAAATTACTTAACATGAAAGTTACAACTTTTATGTGTCTTGATAAAATAGGTTATCAACTGTTAATCAGTGACAGGTGACAGGTGTCAACACTTTGTTTACACTTTATTTAATAGTTATTAGTAAATACTAGTCTCTTTAAGCATTTAAATTCAACTAATGTGTAACATAAATTGTTTTTGACAGAAATAGGTTTTTTATTAATATAAAATATATCCATTACTTTCAGCTATTCCTATAAATGCAACTGAATTATTGACCACGTTATGTATACTTTTAATGTACATTTATGCATTATTGTCATGCTAGTTTTTGTCAGTTGTCATTTTCCCGGTAAATGTTTGATGGAAACCTCTTATATTCAATGTAGTATTTAATGCAACCGGTAGATGGCAATAAACCCAAACTTTATTGCTGAACATTGTAATCCGAGCGCGAAAATTGTAGATGATAATTATATAGGACAAATTTCTATTCCATTTTCTTTAAAGATGGAAAATAGTCGTACCAATTTGACCTATTTATGTTTACTAGCGCCATTAGTGAATATAAGTGTTAGAACTATTATCAAAAAGTCCATAGTAGTGAACAAAAAACCACTAGGCTGAATTTTCCTTCAACTGAGTTCGGAGATAAACCTTTGCCCAGAAAAGTGTAAAACTAGGTCAGTATAAGAACAGTTGAACTAATGATATACTGCAAGGTCGCTTTCAGTCTAGTAGGGTAAGACACATGTTGAGACAAAAACATTTGTTTCCAGTTATAGTTTGGTACAGTAAGCAAATATTGACAATTTGTACAGGACCCATTAGGAGACTAATTGCTGCTAATTACACAAATCTTACATCTCTAAATTTATGTGCATATTCAAATTTAGATTAGGTTTGTTGAAGTCACTTGGATAAAATGATTAAATGCTATAAGTCTACATAGTTTTATTAATCATGAACTGTGTATGTGAAAAGCTTCCAAATAAATTCATTGATGCGATGATGTGTATTATTTTAAATGCCACTTCTGTCTAAAATGTCATTAAAAAATTTTTTTGCTTTAAAGAATTCCATCTGTGCTTCCAGGAAAAATGTGTGAATCAAATTATATTGTCCATCTGTATATAAACGTATTATATGTATATAAAATGTATTAAGACAGTAAAATCACCGAAGAATATACTCAACTACAGGATTTATAGTGTAGTGATGTGAATCAATTTAGCTAATAACTGAAAGTCTGAAACCAAGAAGACTGACCACAATCTTGTTTTATTTTGCTCTCATTATTCACAAATTCATGCTGTTTGTTGAAACCAGATGCTACCCGCAGATGCCCTCTGTCCTTATTGCATGTGTGGCAGTTAAATGAGACAGATTTAAATGAGACGCTTTGTCATAAATTTAACTACATACGGCATCACTGCCTTGGGCACTCCTGTACTGTTTAGGATTGCATTCTGCTCAAAGCAGCTTCAAATTATAACATGCATATGTATCACCGTGTGGTTAATAATTTAAACCCAATAATTATAGCAATTTAAAAAGAAAGGATACTTGAAGAAATTTTAAAATAGAAGAAAAATTATTATTTTCGCGGTTCATCCAATGCGATCCACAGACTTAAAATACGTTTTAGTAGTTTAAATGCATTCTTTATTCAGCAAATCAGATTTAATAACTTTCTTAAAGGCAGGAAACCAACCAGTCCCTAGCAGTGGATGCAAAGATATTCATGATACAAGTCAGCCGCCTCCAGAGAATCAGCGTCCCCCGCACACATTGAAATGCTTGTCTTCATCATGACGATGTTGCACACAATGCCTGTCTCACGCATTAAATTATCTTTAGCGAGCCGTTGTTTCTCTCCTCGGGATTATGTCATGTTTGGCGGAAGTATACAGCTGAAGACAAGAGAGCTCCTCGCTCCTCCTGGGCGGAGTAATCGCGCGATACGGCAAATTTGTTGAAAGTCACGGAATATTTGGACAAAAATAAATAATCTTGTAACGAGGTAAAATATACGCACAAACCTTATTAACCTGTCATTTACATATACGGTTCAAAATATATTTTCTTTTGCCTTCTGACTAGTTGTCTATAGGACTGACAGAGTAATACCAACCAGTTAGCTTAGGGAATTCCGCTGAGAAAACAGGACAAGGGAAAAAAAACTGCTGGATAGGGAACGTGGAGAGACGGAACGGAACGGGAAGGGTGTAAATGTGGATTTCTAAGCTTAAATGAATACACCCGGGAATATAAAGAAGCGAGGAAAGTTATCATGCGTTGGACCTTCAACATGATTCCGCGCTGTTTATACTCGTCACGGCTTTTCGTGCGTTGATTTTTGGAAGGGGCTGTATGGGATCCGCATTAGCGCCATAGCTAACTGGCTAACATCAAAGGAAGCGAAGTTTTCCTCTTCTTTTTCCCCCTTTCTTGTTGCTTTTTTTCCGTTCCGCTGGATTAATTTGCTTGGAAGTCCGGGTCGAGCAGGCGATAGGGGGATATGGTCCGGATTATACACGTACTGCGGGGCTGGGCTACGAGTATCACAAGTTTCGGGGTTTAGAGAGGAAGGTGGTTTTTTTCCTTTTCCTCCTTTTTTTTGGAAAGCTGTGTTCCCTTTTCCATTCGCAGTACAGTATTGGCAAAGTGGAGGCCCGTTTGACGGAAAAAAAGGACTTGAAACGAATGGGACACACATACCGGGTGGGGGATAAGGAGTTTTTTTTAATCGCAGAAAGGAATAAAACTTCGGGATCGGGGTCCCCCCTCCCCCTTTTTGTTGTCTTTGTTGTCATAGTTTGGGAATTTTCTCATGAGAAAGAGCTGCCGGGATATATGGCGAGCGGGGAAGCTGGAGTGGGATCTTTTCTGATGGGATAGCTACGAAACACTTAATAGATTTCGGGAGGATTAAAAAAAATCTCAAAAGGGGCCAAATGGGAGTATTATGAAGACGCCTGTGAATGAAAGTGGAGAAAAACAAGATCCGTACCGAGAACTAAGGACGCAAAGAGGGTGAAAGACCGGGTGTTATTTGGCCAGAAAATAAATTAACAATAGATGCAGCTCGCTTAGAGATACTGACAAAGGCTGCTGCCAGACAGCGCCAGGCGAGGCGTGCTGTCTGCGCCCGGATATCTGCATTAACCCCCCAGAAAGGGCGTCAGTGCCGCCGCTCGTCGGCTTGCCTCGCGCACGCCGCGCTCCCGCAAGATACAAGTTACGCGCCGCACGCGACGATTAACGGTTATTTTTGTCTAACAAAGAATAAGTTTTTTATACCGTACATCGATTCTCCTTTTTTCAGATGTTTTCCCCGCCGTCTTTTCTTTTTCTCTGCGACAAGGGAAATAAACAAGCACCCGGACAAACAGCGCGACCGAGCGCGAAGTTAGCTGCCTTGTGAACAGTCACTGATCTGAGCGGAGAATTTGGACTGTCTGCGATCGTTTCCTGACGGATATCAAGGACCTACTTTTTTTCTACAAAAAACATACACCGAGGGTTGTTTTTTTTCCTTCACATTCTTGGTAAAATGATAATTGGATAAAGGCCGAAGGGAAAACTAGAAAGCCCAATGAGCGGCACACAGTCTACAGTCACTGACAGGTAAATGCATATGCACCGTGGTTACACAGCATTATTATGATTATTATTATTATTATTATTATTATTATTATTATTATTATGGACACCGCTTGCTTTTAATTAAATACTGTTCCCAGATCGTTTTTGTCACATCATCACTGTCTGTTTTAAGTGTTTACCCCCGTCCTAACAGGCACAGTTTGTCATAGTATTTTTCATATCCTTGCATTTTGTTGGTAATGTTTCCGATCTCGGGCGGTAATCTTTGGCCCTAGTAAGTTACAATGAGGATAATTGTTTTCCTCTTAGGATGCGTTTTCCTGTTTTGTCTCGTCATATGAAGCTTTTGAATGGGAGGCGCTTGCCGACTGAGGGAAACGCATGTTTACCTTTGGAAGGCAGGGGAAATGTCTTGGTACAAACGGCCAAGGGTGCCGACTGCAGCAGTCAGAAGCCATAGCCCGACGTCTTATTGCGATTGGAGTAATACACGGTCTGCAACATGCGATAGGATGGACCCTCTTCCCCTTTTAGATACCGCAACCACAATGGATGGGTTATTCAGTGTGTTTATAACAATATACAGTGTTGGCCTATAGTGTTAATGTCGGCAAGTAGTGTTTTTCAGGGAATATATGTGATTTCTGGTAATAGATGGCTGCTTTTAAGTTATATTGGCTAGACGTGATTGGTTATTTTTGTTATTCTTTCACAATATTAAGGTGAGGAGAAATTGGAGGTTTTTATGGAACTGTGGCTGATTCTGGAGGTCTTTTTGTCATCCAGGGGCACAACATTTACTGAGAGGGTTGTTGTTGGTGTTTTTAACATGTTCTCCAACCCTAAATGGTATTACTGGAGAACATGTTGACAAGCAGCAGTTTCGGGTTGTCTGAGTACAGAGAGCACGACACTGTCTGTCTGTGGGTCTCTAGCATAATTTCTGTGTTCTTGCTGCGCAGTGTGCAAACCGGCACCTATCAGGGTGACTGTCCCTATATCACACTGGTTGACAGACAGCTGACCCTTCATCATTGAATGGTGCATTTCGAACACTACCAACTCGCTTGTTTGTGCAGGGATATTAACAGGTGGAGCTGACCTTTGCTGTTTGCGGGGTTTGGCAAGGCTTACGTACAGTCTGGTATGCGCTGTCATACCTTTCTGAGATGTGTGTCCACTTAAGGGAGGCGGCTGAAGACTACCATTGCTATGTTAAAACCCTCCTCCCCCCTGGCAGTAAGGTGCCCATCATGCTTTTGACTGAGGCAGACAGGCAGAGGCTGATTGTGTGGAATTTGCTGACTTGGGCTCCAGAGATCATAATGATGTTGTAGGGCTGGTTCTTAAATAAAAGTAAACATAACCTTGTGAAATTTCGGTTTGGTGACAAGCAGGGGCCCATCTTCATCTGCTGGGATGTTCCTGTGTTGGCACTAGATTAATAGTTTGTATTTTGGGGGCTGGACTGCCTCAGTCCTGAGTACAGGTCCAGCTTAGTGCCTGCATCAACATTCAGCGGTATTTTTGAGTCGTAATTTTTATTTATTTGTTTGTTTGTTTATTTAAATAGCGGACTAATTGTATGTAGCTGCACTGGCTCTTGTTGTCATGATCAAAGCATTGCCATTGATGTTTTGTTTGTCATGCAGTGGTGTAATGTCCCAGATATGATTATTTGTGCCGTAGCTGTGGGCTCTGGACCCCAGTTTTACATTGTGGTAAGTTGTACACCATATCTTAGGTGTGTTTGTGCTTGTAGAATTAAAGTCTTACTGCTTCTTCAGGATGAAAAATGATGTTTCTAGAATGCACAGGGACTGTAAGGAGGCTGGCAAATTGAAATGTGTATAGTCTTTGGGACCATCCCTGGCGAGCAGATGTCAGATTCGGTGAATGTCCATGATTCTGTAAAAGGGAGATGTACATGAGGGATGTTTTGCTGATGGTGAGGCTATTGGCGAATGATCTTCAGGATCTGAGCCTGAGCAGCTACTTCTGCCTAACTGCGTAAAAGCTGTGTGTGACGTGATTGAGTGGTCCTTGCAGATGAGGTCTTCAGTACGTGCTTACTGCAGCTTTCCTCTTTTTTACACTATTTGTGTTTCCAGCCTTGAAGTTGTATCTCATGTCATTTTCATTTTAATTCTTTGCATCTTGGCTGGGGACAGATAAGACAAGACTTGGAACAGTTTACATGGAAAAATAAAATGTTTAAACAAGCCAAGTTTTTCTTTAATCTGTGCAAACTACTGTCAGTGAATACCAGGCCAGTAACAGCATTGACATCTGAACATCAAATTGCATTTATGTTGTGCCATGTATTGTTAAGACTAAATTATTCCCAGATCTAGACCTGCTCATGAATAGAAGTATTTGCAGCTCAGGCTTTCAGTGGTTGGAGTGTGGCTGGGCTCGAATTCTGGTGTTCTCTGTTGGTGATGCTTCCCCACAATCTGCTCATTATCCACAGTTTGAATCTTTAAGAAGAACATTTTAGTTTTGACTTGCACAAGACATTTAATTGCTCTGGTTATTGTGTGCCACTTTGAAAACAATTATCCGAAAATTTGCTTCTGATGAAAGCACAGGCACACTGGATGAACATGACTGATGGAGCAAATCACCAAAGACAGTCACCTTCGTGCTAGTTCTGCTTGTTGGAAAGCCATTGGTATTTGGATTACTGAGGCATAATGGATGCAGCCACTTTGTTTGTGGGAGTTCTCTGTAGCCCAAGGCTGCTTGTTGGTTGGTCTCTGTGACAAAACCAAATAGAAATGACACATTTTAGGGTTTCCTGTCACAGCGAGGCTGAAGGAGAGAACGAATTCCTCCATCTGATGAGGTAGATGGCCAGTGAAAGTCCTGACCAAGCCCTGCAGTGTTGCAAAATTGTTGCAAGTGTTGCCTGTGGTGCAGGGTTTCTGGTTGCTCCCTACTAGGGCTGAGAGACTCTTCTCATCTGTTTTGCATAATATCCTGTGGTTGGGGCTTGTTTGCAGCCTTCAGGCAGAAGCTATAACCTTCAATGGTCTAACATGGTGGCGTCTCTGCCTCTAAGCTCTAGACCCCTATGAGTCACCACCAGCACCTTTCATTTTCAACCGGAGCCACATCCACGGTGGTTTTGGACTGGGGGTTCCTCAGGATTTATGGATGGACACATGGCTCAAGAAGTTGCGGTGGTTCTCTGTGGCCACCTGCACCTGGGTGTTTTACCATGTTGAGCCCGGGCTTGTATGCGGGGGTGGAGTCCTTCCAGTCGAAGGTGCCTGCCCCCCCCCCCTCCCCCCCCCACAGCATACCAGTTTGCATCAGGCCTTGGCTGTGTCCAAGCCGTGAGTGTGAGCTGATGCGGGCTGACAGGCAAGCTGGGCAGCAGTATAAAAATTCTCTGCTTTCAGCTCACACTCATCCTCTCCTGTTCCAGGATAACCTGCCAGCACAGTAGAAACCCTGTGTCAGCCCAAGCTGTTCAGGTCCTCCCCTCCCAGTATTCTGAGCTGAAAAAGCTGCCATTGTATACAGACTGGTAGAATACCTACCCCTTTGACTTCACATTATTTGGGTTTATGAGGATTGGGGGGAAGCGGGTGTGGAGTGCACAATGATACAGTTCATGTGACCCTACAGATTCCACTCTGGCTTTGCCAAGTCTGTGCAGAAAGCCACACCATACTCTACTTGGTTATGAAATTAACTTTGGTCTGCATACTGTGAGGTTTTGCAGATGGGTAGATGTAACTACCTGAATCGAGTGAGTCCAAAGGTCAGAAGTATAAAACGTTCACCTAGGGCTGGGGGATATGACCTCAAATCAATATCATGATTAATTGAACATTTTACCTCGAGTATGATTAATGAAAGATTATTTTATTTATTTATTTATTTATTTAACCCTCATATTTCACTGGCAAGTTTTGTATTGTAAATATGCTCAACTATTAAAGCTGGGATACTTTTTAAATGGAAGACTATTATCTTTTCTTTATGATTTTGAAAATAATTGAAGGAAACACACACAGATGAAATATTTATGGTAATTTATTGGATATTTTGAACAACTGAAATCCAGACACAAATCACTTGAAATGAAAATGTCTTTTGAAAAATGTCAAATTTTAGTTTTAATTTAAAAAGCTAGCTCCCTAAAAAAGTAGAAAATAAGTAGGTAAGTGGGTAAAATTGATCACTATAAGCGGATGGTCATTATAACCATTTTTTTATTTTTCTTTGTCTGTGGCAGGGGAGTTACATAACAACACATGCATGGTAGTATATTTTTACGGGGACAGTACATGAACACACACTGGGGAAAGTATTAACAGATTTTTTTTGTTTTTAACTGACATGGGCAAGATTACGTCAGTTAGAGGTTTTGAGTGTAAGTTTTGATTAACTTTTGATTAATTACCCAGCCCTTCGTTCACCTGACTTATGACTTGGGAGATGGAAGAAAGTGATGCTAAGGATTTTCACAGCTTTGGTTTGTGTTTCTTAAATGCATTACACTTACTTGTTAAATTGAGGTGAAACGTCAAGTAACTGTGTCTAAAAATGAAAAATACTGTCAGCATCCCTTTACATAAGCTTGCGCAAAAATGTTTGTAAAAAATCTGCAGATTGTGTTGATGTGCTACCTTGGTGGGGGGGTTTTTTCCCTCCCTTGAAGCCAGGATGTGGCGTGCAGTGAGTAACCTCTCTTCCCAGACACCAGGGCTCCACCTTCATAGGAAGGTGTGGTTCTCTACAGCTGTTTCCTTTTTGAGGGAAGCTTATGTGACTGAAATTGGACTCACTGGCCTGTTGTACCACCTAGAAGACAGCAGCTGCAGTAATAATTTTTTTTTTTTTTAATGCTTGTCGTCTCATCTTCTTGCTGATTACTCAACTCAGACAAGGCCTTTTTAAAAATATTGTGTAGTAGGTGATTGTGCCAGAATTGGTGTTGAATTCAGTCTCTTTTGGGGCTCTCCCGTCTCTTGTATTCTACCCCACATGGTGCATTTTTAACATCT